AGATTATGCAAGCAGTACTGCAATCCCATTGGTGGAAGCCCGGATAGCCAATAATCTCCCTTTGTACATATTATTTAGTCACCTTTATTTCTTCCAATAAAGGAACTAGTGCTTAATACCATTCCTGTGGCCTTTTCCTCGCGTTTTATTCTCGTGGGACATTGCGAATCCGTGCCATTTTGGTCCAGTGCTTTTGAGATCCAGTCCGTGATAGCTGATTATTGATTTGGGTCCCGTGATTCATATTGCGTGGTTGGTGTTCCGATCTCCGTGAGTATTACTACGACTACTACAATAATTACACTATAATACAGTATTTTGGCTTGTAACCGATTCCAGACCGAGAACGGATGACCGCGGTGAACTGTATAAACCATGTGATCAGACCGTCCATTTAAACTCTACACGGGGGTCGGAACACTTCGGTCACGTTTTCAATGGGATTAGTGTCGACAAGATGCGGAGGCAGTTTCCATTCGTCTTCACAACCCTGCTTCGTGTGTGCTCAGAAACAATTCGTGCAAACATTCAAGCTCCCATGACCGGATTGTCATGAAACATCAGAGTAAATGATAATTGGGAGACAAACTGTTGAATACTTTAATTACTTTCTTTTTTCCTTTTAAATACGTCTCCGTTACTTGTCATAGTTATTGTTTTTATAATGGCATTATTAAGACACACTGAAACGAGTTTGTTCGCCGATTTGTGTTGTCATACTGAGCTACATGGGATTGTTTAAACATGCGATCAAAGTCGAGGGCATACGAGACAACGCTTAGCACATGATTCAAAAGTGGATCAAAAGTCAATGGATGATGAGGTGGCTACAGACGTGAAAAGGACACGAGACAGGTTGTAAGATTTGTACACAGACCGTCATCTTCCTCACTCTCCGACGCACCCTCCCGCCGCCGTTTCTTCCGTTCAACCTCACTGACGTCACACCTAAGATGTCGAAATTGTGAAGATATATCACGCAACCGATTTAATCACTAAACGAACTAGCTTATCTGCGCAGAGCGCTGAATATTGCACGTAAAGCTCTGAAGCGGTGCAAAAATGCGATTAAAGTCACTTCACTAATTGATTCTCCGTATAATTACTGTTCTGTGATTCAATATCTAGCTGGGCAGTTCTCACAAGTTCCTGCTTTGTTGTTTTCCAACCAACAGTGTCGAGGTGTTTGTCATCAGCATGACTCACCGATAACGCACAACGTAGTTATGGGTTGTTTTAAGGTTCATTTAACTATAAACCGAAAAACTCATTTAGTTTGACATTGTCCATATCAGAGAGGAGAAAATTTTCAACCAAACAATGCATCCATGCCCGTCGTGTATCACAGAACGCTGGAGTGCTATACAACTTTCACTTGTGGCCTGATTAGCACACAGTCCTAGAATGATATAACAAAGTTTTTTCCCCTTTTATCTCTATCAAAGCGTTTATATTACGAAGAAAATAAAATAAATCTATTGTTTAACAATGGACGAAACTATAGTTAGGGAAGTTTTCTTTTCCATTTGACTCACAGTTACTTGCGAGTAGTATATGTGGGACAATGGATATTGCTGGATTTGACGGACTATCAGTCGGACTTCACCTTGGCACAGAATCCTCAGTTGATCGAATCAACCGAGTGTATGGCTGATCCAATGAACTGAGGATTGTGCCTGGTAGGTATGTGGCAAGTCAGCCCGTATCCTGCATAGAAGTCCTGACTTGGTGTGAGGCTTTTGATTGGAGTTCACAGGTTGTCATCTCTGTTTCTCTTCATTGCTGTCGGACCAAATGAATTGACTGGCTATCACTGAAGACAACACCTGACCAATCATGAATTGGCAATTTGGTTTAGCCATGGACTGAGCTGTTTGGTACAGTGGTAACAGACACGCGTTCCATGCGATCGGTCCGGAGTTCAAATCCCGGATGGAACTGTGGATATACACTACCGCAAAGCTCTGATAAGAGCAAAACTCGAGCCTAGTGCTTCCCAGTGTGTGGTTGACTGAAAGAGCTGGGGAATATCCGTGCAGGTGAATTCCGAAAGATAGTCAGTCAGGTCGATCAAAATGTGTTTGATCAATAAGGCACCAACACATGGTAATTAATTGTTCACGAAAATTGTACTGTGTTTGTTCCTCGAAACGCGGTTTTCTGTTGTTGTTTTTTTGACTGAGGTATCTGAACCCGTGGGGAAGTAGTTTCAACTTCGACAAGTGCCCGAGGTAAACCAATAGGGTTTGCACAAGAGGAACAATATATATTAACCACCGACTTGTAGATAAGCATGGTGCCAATGCAACAACAATAATAACAATAACAATAAAACGGGATAGGTGGATTGGGGTAGAGAAAAGAGTGAAAAGGGGGTGAAACAGTTAAACACGGGGAATTGGAAGATAACTGGGATAACAATACCAGTAAAAACTATGTAATAGTTTAGAGGACCAGCATTCGATAACTGCTCCACATTTGAAATTCTTGTGTGCACTGAGTGTCAATAATGACAGCCGAGCAGAAAGATCTTTCCTTCTTTCCACGGCGAAACCAGATTCCTTAGCACAAATAATTTCAGTTATTACGCCTCTGAATACCATAGGAGAACTGTATATCTGATCACTTTTGAAGAGACTGGACAATTGAGTAATATTTGAGACATAACAGGTTTTGTAGACACCTTATTTTTGTTTCGTGAGAGTAGAGAAGAATGTGTTTCAAGTATACGGTGAATTTCGTCCCGTACTGACCATGAAGTGAAAGGCTGGGGAACAAGCATTGTATCAGTGTTTCAGCCTGGTTAGGTCACATCAAGAGTGCCCGAATTCATCGATCCTTTCTTTTGTTTCATTACAAAACTTAGTGCGATGAACACGAATCGGAGTGAAAGCCATAGTTACCAGAACGTGCTGTTTAGTGGTGGAGACTGGCAACCTGTGCCCTGGACTTGGAGTGGTGAACCACATAAGGCCCTGATAGACTAGGAGGGCTATTGAACCGGAAAATAGCAAAGCTGCCTACCACCAACTTTGGGCGGCGGTGGTGGAACTTGAACTTAAGGACCATAAGGTCCAAAGCTAGCCGGTCACAGTGACTAAAATACTTTGCCACCACCACCCAGATTATGAAAAAGCATTGACTGATGAAAGAGCATTAAAAATCGGTTATCATTGCTCGGGTGAACTGTATCCTATTTCGGCTGTTCGCTGAGCTTGGCACTTTGTTTGCAAACATTCCATCACCAGCCGAGGTGACTAATTCACAAGCACTGATGATGTCACCTCGGCTGATGATGAAACTTTTGCAAACAAATTGCCAAGCTCAGAAAACAGGCGAAATAGAAAACATTGACTGAAATATACTCGTGAATAGAAGGCAAAGAAACCATCTTGTAAATGAGGCGCGAGCTGAAAAGCTGGGAAGCGCTGGACAGCTTTTACAACCTGATTGAGGACTCTCGTTAGCTGACCGGTGACTAAGTGGGTTATGGGCTAGCGTCCTGCTTGCTGATGAGACCCCACCACATCGAAATAGCTGTTCGGTGTTGCTCAGTTTTTCAGTTCAAGTTTCTTTAAAAGGAGGAATTCATCATAGAATTAAATGAAATACACCATTCCTCTCAGCAAATCATCTCGGATACCCCGTGCAAACCTGGGTTGGTGACCCTTCTATTCAAATGTAATGTACCTTGAACAGTGTTTCAAAATCCATAAACATTTTTCTAATATCATCCAGTGCTCAATATTACCAGTAAATATATAACTGCGGAAATGCGGCAAATAACAGTACATAACGCTTTTGAATATAAATATCAATACATTGATTAATAGCCGCAGAAGAAATTGAGCTATCTATCGCGACGATTGTTCAATTCACATCACGGTTTTCACCCAAGAATATATCGAGTCACTATAAAACTGCTCCCAAGCAATTAAATCACGACACCTGGATTCATTCGTTAGGACACTACTGTTTTCCATAACTGCTTACCAAATCGCCAATGAAAGGCCGAATCCAACCAATCTTCATAGATTGTTCCTGTTCGTGAGCAGCATCTGGCCGTGTAGTTTATCTGACGTGTGTCGAGCATACCACTTTCTTCCACCCAACAGGTTACCATCGACTGAGCAACCTATTGGACATCGAAATTTCACCACCAGTGATTGTTTTCTTCAACTTGAGAGTTATTGGTTAGGCTTTGTGTGAAAATGTGAAGTGTTCTTAGATTTAAGTGGTATGGGCCCAGGCTATTAACTTTAGTTGTCTGTGGCCACTATGCTCAATGAGTTGAATGGTTACAGATGAAGACCAGCAGTGCTGGAAATTAAAACTTGTCTGTGCCATTCTATCTGAGATCTGGCATGGCTGTTCGATTAGTCAAGTTTATGTTCCCTATAACAGCTAATTGACATTCGTATCCAAACCTACTTTTAATTGTGGACAGTTTTATAGTTTCCAACGCACTCTTCTCTTTATCGTCCGCATTTAGGCGTTGGTATAGCGCAAATTCTCATTTCCTACATGGTTGCATTCTACTACAACACGGTCACCGCCTGGAGTTTGTACTTTTTCCTGGCCTCAATTACCGACAAACTACCGTGGACACACTGTGACACGAGACGCGGGAACACGAACGAGTGCGTGAACTATACCACCCTGGTCGCCCAGGTGTCCACACTGACCGGTGAGGACAATGCGACCACTTTTGTGCTGCACAATCACACATTGGCTTCGACGGAATACTTTGAGTAAGTGCTTCGCCAGCTGCGTTTTGCATGATTCTGTGGAGAGATTAAACAAAATAGCCCGAACTACTGATCGACGAACCAAATTTGCGTTAGTTTGTCTAAAATTTCATTCAAATGGCACAAATCTACTATCCATTTGTTAAATATAAGTAATGATACAGACAATCTTTAGGCAAGAGGAATACCTCATCACCAGAAGCCTATTCGTCACCGAACACCGTTTATTGGTCCACAGTTTCAGGGCAGAATACTAAAGTATCTGATACGCCCTGATAGACTTTGTCTCTCACCCGACAACGATGAACCGGTGTTTTCAGCCAATGAACACAGCAGCCTTTCTGTTTCATTCAAAATTTAAATTTTATTTATTATTTTAGAAAACCCCATCATACTAAGATCACTACGAAATGCAGCAAGATGTGATATTTTTAAGTACCGGATATAAAGTTTATTCATTATGTTAGCTGCATTTCATAGTGGAATAATAAGAGAGTCTCTCTACCAAAAAAAAAACACAAAATGCCAAGAAATAAATTTGCAAGTAGAAGTTTTTAAGTGGCAACATCTCAAAAAAGCCGAAAGCAAAACTAAATAGGCAAACATTTGAAGGCTAGCTAGGTACTGGAGTTTGTACAGTCACGTGGATGCAACATTCTGCGTGTATAAGATTATCCCAAACTTGGTCAGGTTACTGCAACACGAATATTCAGGAGATCTTGGTTTCGCTCCAAACCTCTATAAACATTCTTTGACCTCGTGCGTTGGAGTTGAGAATTGTATGACAAGCGCCACATCCGAAACTATCATGTTCACAGACAGGTAAAGCAACTGTGAACAAGGATATGAAAATCTAGTTAGATTGCAGTAGGTTTTAGCAGAAACTATGCTGCATAGAATTAGCTATATTCTAACCGATGTTTTAGACCACCTTTAATGCAGATCGGTAACTTTAATTGATCATAATAATAAAGCACGCTAATTTCAATGGTAGGTTCACATATAAAATAATATGACCTTGGAAGTCAAGGCCATGCGAATGTGTTACATGATATCACTCGGACAGATCAGTTATCTGAATCACGTGATTTCTTAATCAACGGTTCACCAAGTTACCTTGGAATTGTTCGTGGAGAAGAAGTTTTACACCTACTTCGTCTGAATTACGACACTACTTTTAAGTAACTCTGCGTTAAGATGTCCCTAGAGTAATTTTTCCTTAGTTTTAAGGGGTTCCGTTTTATTTCTGTGCAACACGAATTTTGGTCATTCAGTACTTACTTTCAAGTAGAAGTTACTCCCATTCAGTCCCCTCCCCTCATTGACTGTACTATCCATATATGATTTTTACCAGTCGGATCATCAGGGCAGGAGAATATCCATTCAGAGTTCACCATCGAGTTCTTCTTGTTCGAAGGAATACTACGTTTCAGATTCCAGAGACCGTCATTAACATAATGTTCACTAGGAACCAACATTGGAATACTATAGTCCAACCCAGAGGATTTAACATAAAAAATGCGGCCCAGTATAAACAATCAATAAGTAGAGCTCAGTTGTTTTGGTCGTCGGGTACGTGCGCTATGAGAAGTACGCTATGTGTTTGAGGTTACGACCGCTAAATTCAACCAATCGAATTTTCATAATGAGCATAACAAAATGTGCATTTACTTTTGCAACCGGTCTAGTTGATACATTCAGCAATCCTCTACAGAGAGAGAGAGAGTAGTTCATTTTACATCCCGTTTGGGTATTTGTGATGTTTTCCCAACGTTTTGTTTTCATTGTGCATTCAAAAATATTTTCTCTTCTTTACACACTGTCGTTGATCAGTAATGACACACTTGTGGTTNCCCAACCCCAAAATGTCGAATATTACCAAAGAATAGGAAAACTTATTTCGTCCGACTTCATTCACTTCCAGTCAATTTCTATATATAGAGTTATGACATGTTTGGTCTTTAAGCGTGATATCCACCATCAAGGTTCTTATGGTGACACATGCAAATCATTTTACTTCCAGTAGATAAATTCTCAAATAAAATTTCTTTTGACTTATCAAAATGTATTATATTCTACTGTATTGTATTCAAGCTTTAGCGAGTTATACGTACAAGCTTTCAGACAATAAAAATAGACCACTGTTAAAATTCTGATAAGAACAGGCGCAAAAGTGGGATGTGAAAACGTACACAGGTATGAGTTAATAACCAAATGCATTAGAAAGCTCAGAGCGAACACTTTCCTTGTCGATCAGTAGCCGGGAAAGATAAGGTACCAAAGAGTTTCTGTATGCGGGTATGCGAGACGGGATAAGTTTGTACTTGGAACGGGTGGAGGGGTGGGATTTGCATGCACACAAGTCAGCGTGTAGAGGATGGGTGCAATCAGATAGGATATTGTCAGCAAACTTCAAGCATGCATCAATATGGGCATTACACATAGTGCCAATCAGAGCAGATAATGGAACTTGGGAGACACGGCTAATCATTGAGAGGCTACGCCTCAGCAACTTGAGACCAGCCTTCAACAAACCAGGGAAAATTACAGGAGAGCAATAAAGGGGTATAGGGAGGACACATTGTTGAACGAAAGTGTTTATCACCGACGAGTCAGAACATAAGTGGCGCAGTCTTCTTATCTGAAAAGAGAGCCTTTTCAACTTGCGAGCAATACTTTGNCCGGGCGAGATAGGGTACCAAAGAGTTTCTGTATGCGGATATGCGAGACGGGATAAGTTTAAACTTGGAATGGGTGCAGGGGTGGGATTTGCATGCACACAAGTCAGTGTGTAGAGGATGGGTGCAATCGGATA